AGGGGTAAGCTTTTGGAATACAAGGACAGCAGGAGCGGGCGGTTTTTGCCCGCGCGCGTCAAGGAGATCCAGGGAACAGGGTTTGGAATACGAGGGCAGCAGCAGCAGGGCGGTTTTTGCCCGCGCGTGCCAAGGAGATCCAGGGTAAGAGTTTGGAATACAAGGGCAGCCGCGACAGGCGCGCCAAGGAGATCCAGGGACAGCATTTGGAATACAAGGGCAGCAGCGGTAAGCGTGCCAAGGAGATCCAGNGGAGATGGAATATGGGCATCTAAGGGAGAAGAACGATGCACCGGCAGGAGCAATGGCTGCCGGAAGAACGACTGCCGGGGCAGCTGGTGGAGCTGGGCTCGGTACACAACGGGTGAGCATGAAAAATGATGGAAATTGTGCTTTGAGCGGTTACAGCAGCAGTCGCAACCCGCCCAAAATCCCGACGAATTCGACGAAGGCCGTGAGCTGGCTTCGGAGAATGCGGAATTTCCTGGCTGTCGAGGATTTGGAGCGAACCCTTGACCACATGCCATCTACTGGTTATGTCAACGTTATCAGTTGTCTGGATCGCACATACCTGAACCAGACTCACGGTGCACATCTGGTGGCAGCTCACCAGCGGGCGTGGGGGTACATGTTGGAAGCAACCTGCGGCACGGACATTGAAGAACGGTTGGGTGCTTGCGACTGCGTCCCTGAGGCGTGGAGCGTGATCCACGAATGGCTGTTGCCTACTCTTGACGCTGAGAAGACGTTGCTTGTGAGGCGACTTGAGACGATTGAGATGCATCCCGGCGAGGACCCGAAACTCTTCTTCGCCAGAGTAGACGGAGTGATCAACATCATGAAAGCTGTCGGCATCGAAAAATCTGAGCGGGCTATCGTGCACATCATTGTCCGCCAGCTTGCGCACAAGTACGATATCGAACGCGAGTCCATCCTGGCCGACCCCACCATTTCCCGAGCGAAGGTGGAAAACGTTGTTCGCGCGGCATACGCCAACAAGGTCATGATGAAGGAA